TGTTGCCTGCCTTTGTTAACATATTTTCTGGCTAACTTTACCTTGGTTAAAGACCGTTTTGCAGTTGTTTTGAAGTATTTTTGTGTTCTTAAACTTGTATGTTATTTAAGGGTTATCATGTAATGTTCACTATGGTTTCACAAGGACAGGAGACTTGCAGGAAACAGGTGATTGTCTTAAAATGCCATTGCAAACAAGTAAAATTGCATTCATCGTAATGTTTACAATGCTTATGCACTTATTACTATATAAATGAATACATATTTCATTTTAAAACAAAACATGATTATACACACATACATTATTTTCTAAGTGTCCAAGTACATTATTTCCTTAACATAATTTGATAAATTCATGACATACATCACTTAAATCTATAAAACCTATTTAGTTTAAATTAATTTTTAGTACATTTAGATAATACATATTTTATGTTTTGTTATCTTAAACCCCCCAAAATGTCAGGTTGTGTAACTGTCCGCACAAATTAACATACTAAAATACTAATTTAAATGGTGTTTTAATCATAAAAAAAATAAAAATGAAATTCTATGGCATCATTTTAACCTTTCATATAAACAAATTTTATACATTTCAGTAGATTTATAGCTGATAATTGAAAACCTTTTGTCTAGCAATTTGTATGTCGGGGGGGGCACAACTGCAAACATGGCTCTCTTATTATGGTAATTGCAGTGTGCATGATAATGCATTGTCCAGAGGAGCCATAATGATCCTTTTAGATCTCTATCAAATACTGGTAATTGCTTTAAAGTTATGGGTAGGTTGGTACACTTTCAGGTGAATTTAAACACTTAGAAATGTTCACAACTGAAACTTGTTCAAATACATTGTTCATGACACAAAAATATACATTACATCAGTTTTGAAAAGATTTTAGACTTTGTTTATTTGTCAATGACCTATATATACACTTTTGCACTGAATTAGCACAATGGGATTTATAAATGTCTAATAAACTGCACGTCAAGCATGTTGTCTGGCCTTTCCTCTATGTTGTCAGACACAGAAAATATGCTCAAGTCAGGAGCAATCTAAATAGAACTTGTGTGCTAATCATACTTAGGTGTATCTGCACTTTTTCCACAAAGACCAACACTGGGAAGTTTAATGTTTATTAAAAATAGGGAGCAAGTAAAGTCTTGCAAAATCCAAGGAGCTGAGACTGATGAGGGTACAGCGTCAGTGCAGGAGTCTTCAGGATCCACCGAATCCTCTTTGTGCTTCTTGTGTTGAAAGAGATAAAGGAAACAAAAACGGGATAAATTATATATAGGAGTTAGTATATAATACAGTTATGGTATTTATAATACCCCATTTAGCCTAGTGTGATTTGATCTAGAACACGGCTTGCTGCCGTTTTAAGCATGTTTTTAATCTTACTTATAAACTTCCATCTCCCTTTCCTATCAATACAAATCAGCTGAGCTAAATCATAATATAGACAGGTAATAGTCAACAGAAACACAATGAATAAAAAACGCCAACCATACGTTTTTCCTTACTCAAATATGAAATCTAAAATAAGGATTTTTCCCCGTTATTGCACATTTAATATGGATTGAAACCGATATTCTCATTTTATCAATTACAACTATCACACTCCCCAATGTTATATTTAACCTCTGTTTAGAAGTATTTCCCTCTTATTACACAACAAAGGATAAACATGCATTAATAGAACGGGTTTAAACATTATGCTGTTCGTGGTTTGTTATGCCGTACTAACTTTATCCAATGACCTTTATTTTACCTGATAACGTCCCCTAAAACTACTAATTTAGAGAGCAATAATCAACTAGCATGTTTTAATACAGTTAAACTTACAAGTTAATTGGATTCAGATGGACTGATAATATACAATCTTATTCTTTAAACGTCTTACCTTTTAAAAGTGCATCACAAACGGTCTGTTCTGCTCTAACTCTACCGCGCTGCTGCTACTTCCGGGAACTATTGAGAGGCTCCGCGAGCCGCTGTAAAAAACCGTTCCATTGGAGTCAATGGAGTTGTCGCAACTCTCACTCTATATGGCTCTGGGAGTAATGTAGGAACACAGCCTGTGTGTGTGTATTCTGGGATATGGAGTCTGAAGCGCCATATCTGAATGTTGAGGTGCATGCTGTGAATTGTAGTTTACTGACCTGACACTTACCGTACTTACTAATTTGCTTATTACATACATTAGCTTCAAAGGCCAAATGGAATTTCCAGAATTTTAATTTGCCAACTTGACATTTGGTAAATTCTCTGAAAGCAAGCTGTTGAACGTAATGTGGCTTTTTCTCCAAATTATATTTAGAAAGGATTTAGAAATGAAGGCCAGACTACATTTAGATTTCTCAATATTAGCCATTTCACTTCTCAATCATCTATAAGACCTTTATTTCTATCTCTTTGCTTCAGCGTTTCTCAGATTAATGACGAAGATTTTCTTCTGAAAGTGAAGCTATAGGTCCATTTGGAGCAGCACTGAGTTGGAGGTCATGTTTATAAATGGCTCCTGACATGCTTTTACTAGTACTGACTGACCATGTTTCCACACTGTCTATGGTTTCCACATCAAATGAATGTGGGACACGAGTCACACGACAGCTATTTCAAGTTTTATTTTTCTTACTCCATTGTCAGATTTTCTTTCTTGTTTTAAGCATTGACTCATTTAATTTTTGATAAATTTATCAGCAAACAAAACTTCATATCTTATATTATCTTGTTTCTCACGTATGGCTATAGTAAATGTCTTGATAAGAATGTTTAGATATTTGTGCTGGAAAAAAAGACTGAATGATGACCATGGAATATTTTCAGTAAATAACTTAAATTTCAGTCTGGCTTTGAATTTTAAATGGGCAACTAAAACGTATAAGTAGCCAACCATCTTTACTAATCACAAAGCGTTATCTGATGGTTCTTGTGTCAATCTCAGGGTTTATTTTAACACTAGGCTATTTACAGACAAAGAGCACGCAATAATATCCTGTTTTTGTGATCCACACTCAGTTAATTTCAGCTCATCGGATGCTGACCACCACACCCACTGTCAGGCAATTCCCTACTGTCCCTCCTCACAATACTTCGCCAGCACACCCTACCGTTTCTCTGAAACGACACCGCAGTTCTCAGTGTCACCAGCAGAGGGCGAGGCGAGCTCGCGCATAGATGACACATAAATCTGATACTCCAGAGCACAGAATGAAGCTTACAAGACAGATGATAAAAATGATTATAAACATCATAATGATACCATTTTAAGAATTAATTTGAATTTTAAGATAAAGTCTCTTGTCTCAAAAATCCATTACATTAGTGACTGTGTCTGTGTGTGTGTAGGCCTACCTATAACATATTTGGACATACCATGGTCATACGAAATGTAGTGAATGCAGTGTAGGTTACTATGCTTGATTTATTTGTCTCATTAAGATTCACGTGGTGCTGGATAAATGATTGTGTCAAAGAAAACACATGTTTTGTTCCAGTCAAATGTGACGTGATATAAAGGATCTCTAAGAAACTTGTTGGTCCTTTTACAGTTACCGTCTCCAAATAAATCCATGTTTGTATATATTTAATAAACTCATTATTAAATATGACAGAATTGTTATCTTCCACCCAAAAATACAGGTTTATTCATCTGTATGTCGCATTGTTGACCAGACCAGGAACTCTTGTTTTGTTCCCTTGTATACTGACATAATTCCCATTGGCACTGGGTCACATTACATGCTGACACAGGGCACATTTTTTCCAGATAATTTTACTCAGACTGCCACATTGAATTAACTGTCTTACTGTTGAAAACAAGAAGCCTGGACTGATTTACCCTATAGGCAAGTTTTGAGGCATGAAATTCAGGCTGCAATTCAAGATGTTGTTGAATGATGGGAAGCAGGATGCACACTTCAAACTATTTGCTATTATATGAGCTGAAATGGTGTGTGTGTGTGTGTGTGTGTGCACCTATAACATATTTTGAGCGGATACAGATCCCGCTGTTTTCCAAGTTCGTCCCACCTGTTCCTGGAGCGAAATTGTAGCATTTGGACAATAGTCAGGTACACTGGGCAAACCTAGCAGTGCCAGCTGACAGATGGGTAGCGTCTTAATTCAAAAGAGTCATCTCCAATCTGCATTCATTATTCATATATGTACTGTAACACAACATACATCACTGACAGGTAATTTTTTATCACTTCCTGAGGCTACGCAAATGTTTTCTCCACTTCCTGTTAGCGTTGTCTAAATGTACATGGCTTAAATGTTGCACCTGACCCGAGTTAGGACGTCCATACAGTTAAACTGTATAGCAATATAAAAGTGAATGCATATAGGCATGATACAATATACATGAATAGCCTATTATAAAAATAGTGTATACATATTTTTACTAGTATAGAAAAGAGACAGTTCTCACCATTTTTAGTTTAGTATTATTTATATAGGCATACTATTATATTATTTATTCATATTTCAAATTATTTTTTCGTTATTTTAGTTTTAGTGATTGAAATACCCCCCAAGTATTTCAATTTTTTTCAATTTATTAATTTTAATACTTCAATATCAACTTATTTTTTATTTTACCAAGTCAACAAGTTTCATTTAGGCCTAAGTATACGGTTTCCATCTACTTTTTCTTTTTTTTCATTTAACAGAGTTATTATCTATGGTTATTTTAGACTAAATAAAAGCTAAGCTAAATGGGACATTTATGGGTTTATGTGACGATTGTTACAAGTTTATGTAAAATAAAAGTTTGATCGTGTTCTGTAGGCTAATTGTTGTTAATACATGATTCAATTTAGGTTTGATAATTTGCAGTTTAGCGCTAAATTTTGGCTTTTGAATATACTCAATGGCTATAACCACTCTTTTTTTTTCAGAAATTGGATGGAAAAAAAATCTATTTAATGTCATTGGCATCATTGATTAAGACAATATTTTAAGGTGAAAGATGCACCATGAAACATGAAAAGTACATTTAAGAACATTTATTTTCGCATTCAGTATTGAGTACAGCTTAAGTGCAAATAGTTAAGAGTCAATGGCTAAAAGATGAACAACACTTAACAGTACAAAGATTGACAGATTCTAGCTGGCAATCACTCACAGAAGCTTCCTTCTCCTCCCTCTCTTTTGTTTCGTATCATTTTCAGGAACAAAGATAAATGACAGCACAAAAAAACATGAATCTCTGTAGTGGAGTCCTACGAAAAAGAAACATACTGTAATGCTATAGTGAGCTGACCATATCTAATCAGAACATTGCTAAATAGTTGCGTTTGTGCCCAGATATCATGAACCTCAGCAGATCCATGTGTCTAGCTGACAATGACGATTACTGCATGTTAACAATGTTTACAGCCCCCACCCAACGCCCTAGACACAAAGAAGCTTGTTATTTTTTCAAGAAGAGAGTGTCACTGGAGAGCAATAAAGCTGGAGATCCTTCACATACTACAGAGATTTTCAGCACAGCTGAGAAAGCACATAAACTTCAAAGATAAAAAGAGAATTCATCAGCACTTAAGACTCTTGACTTCATGCACTTTATGAGCAACACATAAAACAAAAATCACATCTAGTCTTTTTTGTCGGATTTGAATAATATGTTTCATGGTTACTTCTACAATTCATCAAGTAGTTGTACTTCTGACTAGATCCTGAATTGAGAAACAGCACGCTTTACTTTTTTTTTTCTTCGTTTTTTTCTATGGTTACAAGGTGAGGATGGGACTTCTCCTGCACAGCTTTGCCATTGCTCTAGACTTCACAATGTGTACAAAGAAGAACTATGTTCCAGTGATGTTTATTTCTGATATGTGTGTGTGTGTGTGTGTGTGTACAAAGAGGGACCCTTGATCATCATTCAGCTCTCCCTGCAATGGGTCGGTCTGGGGCTCAGAACCTCCTCCAAAAGGGCCTATTCAGCCTTTCGTTTGGCCCCAGGAATCTTCTCCTGGATCCTGTACAAACAAAAACACAATTATACCACTGTATATTATATTCAGTATGATTTTTTTAAAGACAATTATAATTTAAATGATGCATTAAATTGATCAAAACATGTATAATGTTACAAAACATTTCTATTTCAAATAAATGCTGTTCTTTTGAACTTTCTATTCATCAAAGTATCTCTGTTTCCACAAAAATATTAAGCCGCAACTGTTACAATAATAATAAGCAGAAATGTTTCTTGAGCTCCAAATGCTGAAGGACACTGAAGACTGAAGTAATGATGCTGAAAATTCAGCTTAGCCATCACGGGAATAAATGACTTAAAATATATATTTAAATTAAAAAAAATATATATATTTATTTACTAAATTATTATATTATAATGCTTAAAGGGAGTACTTACTTTCCTACCACAGAGTTGACTTGGGTCCTTATTAGGTCCAGATACTGATCTATCTGTGCCTAGAGAGAGAAAGATTAAAAAAGTGAGTCGTTGTAGTCATGGTGCTTATGAATTTTACATGATGCTGTAGTCATGGTGACAAAGGTGCCTCTCTGACCTGGTATTTCTCGTAGACCACAGGCATCGAGAACATGGACACCACCACTGAAGCAAGATGCAAGGTAAATGTTAAAATACAGAAGAGTGCATGATGAGTAAACGCAGTAGTCTGTCATTTAAATCGGGTGGGACATGTCCCCACCACTTTTTGCCAGGATCGATATAGTCACCACCACTTTTTTGAAACATCTCACTGCGCAGATATACCTAATGCAAATGAAACATGTGGACAATTTGAGGACAATTTGTCTTAAATAAGAGGCAATTTGGCGCTGAAATGTGTTTTTGAAATCATGCTGAGTGTTTGTTGCCACTGTTATCAGCGGTGGAACGTTCTCTTTGGGCTCGTGCCCAGTCTTCACCCAGACGAGCGCTTTAATCTATCGCTCAATGCCATTGCGGAGACTCTCTGTTCTTTCCGGTGGAATCGCAAAACAAAATGCACACAAACGTGTCCAAGCTCGAGATATACAATCCCTGATGAAGATCTTTGATTGTAATTAGGAAAAATAAAACTATACAAGAGCGGATTAATCCGGAACTTCTGACAAGCTTAACAAAGGTTCTATCACCAGACCGTTTGGGAACAAGAATGCTTGCGGACAACTGCGGATCTATGCATTTATTCACTAACATGAAGAATCTCGGGACTAACAATTTTTGTATTATAGTAGATGTAAGAATGAAACTATCACATTAAAAATGAGTTCTATGTCGATACTTTAAACTATCGAAATCAATTTCTAGACATCGTAATGTTCTTTTTTCCCTAAAATTTTTACATATCTGATATAGCATTGTATTAGCAACTCTCCTGTCTCACCCACTTTTTAAAACAAAGTTACACCACTGTTTTAAATTACAAATACATATGGAACTGAATAAACTGCTCACCCATAATAAGAAGAGTGAGACCATTGAAGAGGGCACCCACATAGGTCAGCAACCACATCAGCACTGCGAACTTGAGGCAAACAAAAACAACTAGCAGTTAACACACACACATACTGTATATATGCAGGCATCACATGGTTTATGATGCATTTCTGTGGCAGTAACAAAAGCATTATAGAAGTGCACTGACACTCATATAGCAAGAATAAACCAATAAGGTGATAAACTGCTCTAATATTCTGTATACTAACTCTTGATTTCCTTTGCTGCTAACTTGAAATGGTAAAATAAATATTCCTGAAATGCACATTTCTGTTTCATATTCACTACTGGTTTAAAGTTTGGGGTCAGTACGATTCTTTTTTTTTTTCGTAAAGAAGAAAGTAATTTTTTTTCACAGCAAGGATGTATTAAATTGATCAAAAGTGACAGTAAAATAATTTATAACTTACATAAAAAAAAAACAAATGCTGTTCTTTTGAACTTTCTATTCTTCAAAGAATCCTAAAAAAACATCAGGGTTTCCACAAAAATATTCAGCAGAACAACTGTTTTCCATAGAGCCCCTTAAGGGACATGGTGATGAAAACAATTATGAGTTGAGAAAAAAAATAATAATATGTCAATGCTTTTGCGTTCGCTCACAAAATGTTTGCGTTCCTTGAGAAACTTAGCGTTAGCTCGTAAAACTTGTACGTTCCCACGAGAAACTGCGTTCGCTCGCAAGAAAGTTTTGCGAGGGACCGCAACGTTTCTTGGGGGAGCAAATGCAAAAGCTTTGAAATGTATTTCTTCCCCCCATACTATATTTTTTTCATCACCATGTCCTTTTAGGGGCTCCGTAGTTTTCAACATTGATAATGAAAATAAATGTTTTATAGATCAGCAAATCAGCATATTAGAATGATTTCTGGAGGATCATGTGACACTGAAGACTCGAGTAATGATGCTGAAAATTCAGCTTCGCCATCAGAGGAATAAATTACATTTTAAATTGTACAAATATTTCACAATATTTCTGTTTTTACTGTATTTATTATTATGAAATAAATGCAGCCTGAGTGAGCATAAGAGACTTGACCTTGAATCTTGAACGGTAGCATACGGACTGACAAGTGGAGTACATGTTATGACACGCATGCTGGCGCTTATGTGTGAGCAAAAAGTTAACGTCATTTCCTGATCACCTCCCATAATTTCTGTGCTTTCCTATCAAGTATCAATTTAAGAAAAAAGTCAAAAGTCTATCAAAATCTGTCATTTGAAAGATAACTTTACAATCCTGGTGTATATTAATGTTCACCTTTAGTGAGTCCACCAGATCCTGCACCAGGAACAGTCTGCGCAGTTCTTTCAGTGTGCTGTTGATATAATACTGGATGTTTTCTGCATACTTCTGCATCTGATCATGGGACAGTGACATCTCCACATCCAGATAAGCTCTGCATCCAGGTGATAAAAACATTGTTAGTAACTTAATGTGTTGCACTAACGCACGCACGCACACACACACGTCTTACTTGAAGGGATGTCCCTCGTCTGTTTTCTGCACAGCCTGCAGCACGGACTTGTAGACCCTGAAGCTGATGGTGGCGGAGAGGGCAGCCAGGGCCAGATAGGCCACCACGCTGACCACACTGAACTGCGTCAGGGAGAAAAGTAGCAGCAGTAAACTGCCAAACACCAGCCCACTCTGCTTCAGGTTCCTCCAGTACAGCAGCTCCATCGCTGGATAGGAAGAGAGAGAGAGAGAGAGAGAGAGAGAAAAAGAAGATCAGGTAGGGTCAAAATCATGCACATTTGGGATTGGTGGTTTACAGTATGCCACAAATCTGATTGTCATTGATTGTTTAAGGATCCTCAATTCAGCATTTAAGACCTACGGTGATGTAACCACTAGTGAATCACTCTGCACCAGCACTGAGTCAGTGATAACACAATTAGAAAGGATTACACAAACAGAGAGGAGGACATAAAAAAAATGACACAGAATATGTGTATGTCCCTGCTTTACAATATGCCAAAAGGTGCTGGTGAAATGAGAAGAATGTCCGAATAGCCATTAATTGGCAAACAATACCGCATCTGCTTCAGATTCTGAAGCGTGAAACACGTGAACAATTCACTATCCCATAAGGCCACGGGAGTTGAGGAGATTAAAGTTCACGCAAAAATGACATTTCTGAAACCTAATAGGCTAGATTTGAATTTCACTCTAACAAATTGACCTGCATTCTATCAGCTTCTTCAGTTTTTGAAGCCTTGAGACCTCAAACTTAAAACTTTCTTGCAGTCATTTTTTAAATGAGCATTATCAGTTTTTTGGGTAACACTTTATAAGAAGTATACAGTAATAAAGCTCTTACAAATCCTTAACAAACTATTAGTTTTCAGTTAATTCATTGTCATCTCTACATTGTATTAATACTAGGCTATATACAAATAGTAAGTTCTTCATTAATTGTCACTGTAATGAACAGAACTATTATTGTTTAATTAGCTCGTAGTAAAGGAATTGTTAATGGGTTATTAGGAGTAAATAGTTCTCACTTTAGATTAGGTTAAAGAAAATGGGAAAATGTCATTAAGTGCTTTAATTAAACCAAACTTTATTGGACATTAAATGCATTCATATTCAGTGTTCCTTAAAATGTTTACAAATACATTAAACACACACACACACACACACACGGCATATGTTGTTTACGGGAACGCTTCATAGGTGTAATTGTTTTTATACTGTACAAATGTATATATATATACAGTTTGGTACATATACACTGGTATTTATACATTGATTTAAAAAATGTGGTTTCATTGATTTGCAATATGTAATTGCCATGCCAATAAACAAGTGCGGCAAAGGATTCTGTAATTAACCCATTTTCGACATAGTCACATAGCATCAATCCACTGTTTTACACCCATTCCAAAGCTCTTCTCACTGGCCTTTGTTTTACACCCAATTTAAGATGATGCGAGACTGAACTCAAGAGATTAAAAATTAGGCAGTTTATCTAGATTACAATTACAACCTAGTAGCAGAAGTTCGCTCTAATCACAGGTATGTGTCTGAGCTAAATGGAGCTTCATGGTCTAGACAGAGTCCTGCTATCATTTCCTTGGATGTATGCCTGTCATACTCAGTGCCATTAAGAGCATTATTTTGGGCTGTGCTAAGTTAGAGCTTCTCCTAAACTAGCACTACGGATCTCCACAACAGCAGTGGGCTTCTTTGTTTGTGTTACGAAGGTGTGGCGGACACCCCTTTTTGCAATATACAAGGATTCCTGCATCATGTATAATTCATAAGCATATAATTATACAGCTGATTATAGTCAATGATCAATATTCCGTCCTATTCTATTTATCAGAAGTGAATAAGAAACATAGGTCTTCATTAAACCAAGGCAGTCTCTTTCCTCTATTTATTTTCAGGTAGAAACTAACAAACAATATAGGACACTTGCTCATTTACGCCCACTCTTTCCCATCATGCACTGACACATGCTTGTTTAAGAGGTCATTACGGTGAGCTTCGTATAAAATGTGTGGGCCGTGAAGTTGGCAGTTGAGCTCTGAGATGAAGGGAGCGCGGTCGCCACGGAAACTGGAGAGATGGGTGCAGTGGAGTGAGCAGGGATGCAGTTGCCATAGCGATGGAGCTGCCCCCCCCCCCCCCCCCCCTCCCCTCCCCTCCCTCACAAAGTGCTGCCTGCCAGACAGAGTAATAAGGTACTGATGAAATGATGGGGGAGGGGAACAGGAGGTAACACTGGTATGACAGACACACAAGCAAAGACCCTCTTGCTAAAACAGCCCATTGCTGACAACAACAAGCCCCCTCGTTCATGAAAGACCTTTGCTTTTTATCAAGCTAAAGGAACACAGCAAACAACAGTTCGGTCCTTGAGGGCAAGAATGGCTAAATATAGCTATTGCTGTGTGACTGCACTGAAAATCCTTGATTTTTTTTATGATTTTCAGTTTTTCATTCTTGCTGTCCAGTATATACTTGAGAAGTAGCTAAAAGTATGTACTAAGACTTGTTTTCAGAGAATATATCCAGTATACAGCATAGGCAAATTGGCTTTTATTTGTCTTGTTTTAAGGATGTCTGTGCTTAAAACAAATCTTAATATCTTACTCAGGTTTGCTTTTCAAATGAACTTATCTTGTTTTGATGTTTAGGTAATTTTACTGGGGAAAAAAATATTGGTTAAAAAGTATTTTTATTATTATTTTACAATGTGGTAAATAAATTAAATTACATTAAGGTAATATCTTACCCGACTTTGCTTCTCAAGTGTTCTCAAGTCTCAAGTCAAGAGTTCTCAAGTCTTATGATGTTTAGGTATTTTACTGAGAAAAGACAAATAAAATCAAAATAAATATATAAAAAACATTAGATGAAATCTATTAAATGTTTTGAGTAAATTATATTTTGCTTCTTAACCTGGTTTTAGCACTTGCTGTGTGAACACACAAACACAAAATAATGGACATGATTCGAAAAGGTTAAATGGTCATGGAAAAAATAGTCACACTTATATTGTTCGCGGTCAAAAATGGCCGCATCAGAAATGAATGGGAGAGGAATTTCATCTATTGGAAACTTTGTTACTGCGCACAAACAAATTCTTACTGAAACCAAATTTGAACTTTAAATTTGGAACACAGCTTGCTTAGATTTATGATTCTCACCATTTTAGAGTAAAACGTGTTTTGGAAATTATATATGTCATATAAATTTTTTTATTTTTGTGCATTTTTCATAACAATAAATGTAAAAAACTTTCACAAAAGTTCACTTTTTTTAAAAACTTTTTTCACTTCAGCAATAATCTGCCAAGAGTTGTTTTTAAAAAGAGACCAAACAAACTTAAGTCTGTGCTCCAAAGTATTCAAGATATATGAATCTTGTTATATAAGTTATATATATATATAAGTTGGAAAATTTCATTTTCAGGTCCATGCTCAAAAAGTGAATAAATGGATTATTTATAACCATAAATAATCCACTGCATAAATATAATTTAGTACCATAAAATACCCCTAAAAAAGGTAAAAATATGAAATAAAAAATATAATCCAACTAAAATATAGTTCAATAATTACATTGAAATAATAATAAAAAAATCTGTCATTTTTGACCGACACGTGAACAGTACCAGAGGGTTAAGTACATTAATCTTGTTTTAAGGATGTTTAGATATTAAATACAGGATATTGACAGAGATTTTATTTTTTACTTAGGCTACAGAAACTTTTTAAGAAAAATTTGACCTTCATCCCCTAAAATTAAGTTTAAGATGTAGCAGGACAGTGATCTAAATCCAACCAAGGTGGGATACAAATAAAAACACATGGTCTAACAAACCATCCTTGTATAACTTGTCACAAATAGCACTACACACAAGAGAATGCTGTTTAACACAAACAATTGATGTGGTTGCTTTAGGTTACTGCAAGCGTAAATGCAGATTGGATAGTTATTTTAGGGTCATGCTCTATTGTAGACACATAGCCTGCTTCTGACATCAGTGGATCATACTCTTATAACAAAGAGATCACTTCAGACAGCCCATGACTAACATTATTACAAACTAGACACTAATCTGGATGACAACAATCTTGGCATGGGACAGAGAGATGCAGTAAGGCACCAGGCAAACAACATTTCTCTGCTATCAATAATGAAAGCTCTTTTAAAGAAGCGTCACATGGTGTGATCCCAAACAGCCTCCAGATAAACATAAAAACGACTTGGCCTGGTTAATACAGTGAAGAAAACATCACGGATGCCACAATGAGCAAGAAAGAAACTCATAAGTCAGCCGTAATTAATGGCTCCCTCTGTTTAATCACTCCTCTAGACTGGTTCATCATGGGACAGCATAAGTCTTTAGGGCATACATGTATACTCTTACAATTGTAATACAGGTTAGACTTGAGATATTAGGCAAACTTAGAGATGTAATATATATATTCTTGCTTAAGCATCTGCTGGCAAGCATGATAAAACACTGCTGTATAAGATCCTGTCCCAAATAGAGCTCTAAGTCCTTGCAGTCCTCCTCCAAATCCACTTTACTGATTTAATGCTGTATGCTGGTTATTTGGTAGCAGAACCTGCCTCAGAAAGTGCACATTGGAGGCTCTTGAGCTCCTTCTGAAACCTAAAATGTAAAAGTTGCTTTGAAATTATATGTGTTGTGAAAAGCGCTATTCAAATAAATGTGAATTGAATTGAATATTTATTATAAATGATTTATCCATGCACATCATACTTTTTTTTCAATTCATGTGCCCTCATGATCTTTAATCAAAATAACTTTCCCTCCCTCTCGCAGCAAATTTATGAACTCAAAGGGATACAAATTCAAATGATGTCATCATTTACACGCCAAACCAGGACTTTCTTTCTTCTGCAGAACATAAAAGAAGATATTTTGAAAAATGTCTTGTATATAAGATAAGTCATACAGGGGTTTGGAAATGGCAAGAGGGTGAGTAAATGATGACAGAATTTTTATTTTTGAGTGATCACTTTAAGCAGTGTTGCTAAGAGACAAAGCACCACACATATATCTTAAACAATGAGCTTCTATATTATTATGGGATATTCTGACCCACAGCAATGACTACTACAAACAACTGAAGAGTCAACAATAACCATCTTTCACGAATTGTACCACACATTGATTCGTCTTGTAATTTTACCAAGA